GAATGACAGGAAAAAAAGGATTGTTTATGCTGAATTAGAGGGGAAACTTCCAGATGGTAAGATGCATTAACCTGTATAATAATTCTGCCCAGCAATTTCCATTGCTTGAAACTTTTCAAAAATAGAGTGGATGAAAAAGTAGAAAATTTGTGATAGAGAAGAGCCCTGAATTGGCAAGAGGAGGGGCTAAATGATCCAAGTCATCTTTCCAATTTCTGACTCCTCAAATCAGTCATGTTACACCCATGCAATAGGGTAATATAAATAACATTACCAGAAGTACAAATGTGACATGTCCAACTGGAAATAACAATTTAATATACTAATCCTGACTATAAGAAAATACTGTTGAGTAGCAAATTTGAAGTCACTAGAATGTCATCCAACTTTAAAGTGTTTTACTCATTTTGGCGGGAAAGAAACATATCTGTGTGAAATTATTTTGTGCTTGCATTCCAGTCTGTATCTGTAGAACTCTACAAAGACAAAGGAAGAGATGAAGAGTTTCACTTCATAAACTAGATTTATTGCAAGGCCCTACAGACAGATGAGATGAGTAGCATCTCAATTCTGATAAATATGGAAGTAAAACAGTGAATATGAAGGTTAAATGTAACTGCAAGAAGGAAAATTCATATAAAAACTGCTTCTGAAGTGTTCTTATATAATGTAGACCACATAAATAGTAACTAAAATGTAAACAAAATGTACAGAAATAGAAAGCATATGTCAAAAGCACATTTACTTGACCCTATTCCACTAAAAATATCCTTATTTCCTGTTCTCAGTTTAATCCATCTACAACCGTCTTCGCTTATATAATCTAATACATATCCCACATGTTGCTCTGAGTTCATATACAGAGAACATTAGGGAGAAAGATTTTATTACCATAGCCTCTCAACAGATATTTACTAGGATTATGGTGCTTCAGGACACTAAATATTGCTTCTCCTACAGTTTTCTTTTTTTCTCCCAAGTTAAAAATTCAATTAGGAAATGTGTAACATTAGGGCAATGCTAGATTTATAAAGAGCACTAAATCTCCTATCTTGATTGGATGTTCCATGGATAACCTTCTTGCCTCTGGAAATGTAATAATGCTTAACAAAACCAGAATGAATATATCTGGTGACCAATGAGACAAGTTATTAATATACTGAAATGTGATAAAGCAAAGGGATTTTAGCCCAACATTGTAAAAATCATTAAAATGCAAAACATACTGCCGAATGAGTTTCAACTCTGAGGTGGAGAGCCTGAACCATTTTGTGACTGCTGAGAGAGCCATGCTAGAAGGGAACTCAGCTGGATACAGAAAATGCCACCAAAAAGGCTCTCCTCCATGACTTTCTAAACAAGGAGGGCAGCATTAAACACTTGGCAGGATTCTAGCAGGTCAACAACAACCATCACCTTCAGGAACATGCAGGATTCACATTTAAACCCAAGATTCAGACACCAAACGCAAGTATCTTCATCATGTGGGAAGGTTTATTAGCTACAAGTTGCTAGCTAGTGATATTGCAGCTACAATGATGCTTGATAGTTGTGGAAGACCACAGTAAGCCTTTAATGTTGGATAGAACTTTTACATTTGCCTACATCAACTTTTCTGGTCACATATTGAAGGAACTCATTAGAAATGTGGTTGAAGAATTTGGGCATGACTTAATAAGGGAAAGGCTGCAATAACTTGTTTTAAAGAAGAAAAACAAAAAAGAGAGAGCTGATCTGTGAGCTGGATCTCTAGATAACAGTTTACCCACCTTGAAAGTGATGACAGACAGCAAATGAGTTTGGCTCCAATACATTACAGACACATATTTCATTTTTCTGAAATACTAGAGTATCACTTAAGTGCTAAGGCACTCATATGAATACTGTGGACCAACCACAGATGCATTAAATCTTAATCAACCCTGTCTGGACAGTCCCTGGTTTAAAGTATTTATAAGTAAATATTAAGGGATATTTACTTCACCTCTTTATCTACTTTCTTTTTTCCTTTATTATTCTTACTCAGCCTTCAGGTACTCACTGAAGAACCCAATACATAACAATGAAGCATGCAAAGGGCCTGATTCTCATTTACATGAAGACCTCTATATGCTGTCTTATAGAGACAGATATAATTAAAAGATACTTTCAAGCCTTTTTACATTACCTGGTTTTTGATGGCTTCAGTGAAAATGAAACCTGGTCCCAGAGTGAACAGGCTAGTGGTGCTTGTTTATTCATTAATGTTGCCCTTTGCTTATATAGAACATCTTATTGTACATTTAGTTTGTGACAGTCTATCGTTATTCCCCTATACTCTGTTTTTTTTAAGACAGGGACAAAAAGTATAAAGAAATAAGTCTGTAAAGAAAAATATATTCTCTTCTGGGGTATTCCCCTAGAGGGATATAAGAACAGGATTTTCCTGAAACCTGTGGAGCATTTAATCAGCTACTTCACAATTGTAATTGCGGTGTAAAAATTGTGGCAGCATCCATCACTTCTTGTGTGTCCTCCATAATGGGTTTTTAACCAGTGGACTCATACAATTCAGCTCCTCTGGGTGTGTTGTCATTTCACTCACCAACTCATGCCAAAGCATGCCCATGCTGAGCCCTCTACATAGGCACTCCCTGTGTGCAACAGGAAAGGAATAGATCTACTGCTTTTTTGGCTTTGCATAATTGTACAAGGTAGGGACAGGATTTTCCCTTCAGTCTGACCTATACATATCTACTTTTCAAATTATAAACAGGACTGAAGTTGGAAAAAAGCTCAAACATTTTTTGTTCTTACCTCCTGGACAGTGCCTCATGGCCATTTTACATCTTCTGGACTCTGCAATGGTTGGACAAGGTATTGTGTCTTTTGCTGGCTTTTTCACAATTTGCCTTGTTCTTGTTTCCAGACCCCATTTAAATCCACATGTTTTGTTATTTCTGCTGCAAGTTCCCCATTCACTCCACTGACTCACTTCACAGCCCTCTAATAAAGCAAAACATGTCACAAATTAGTGCTTTTGTCTACATCTGTCTCTCTTCCCATGTCTAAGGTACTTCTAAGGAGCACTGGTATTAAATTTTAAAATCATTGCTTGTAAACTTTATTATTAGGTGAAATCTGAGGTTATTATATAATTTTGGTATTTTACAAGGCAATTGTGACAGAAACCTCTGGTATCTTACAGCAAACAAAAGCAACCAACTAGTTATACATAGGTTCTTTGGTATTTCATTATTTCCATGGCTTTTAACAATTTTCGCTTGAAAAGAATGAGTTCATTCTTTGAAATTATACCTGCAAGAACATTTTAAATTGGTACTTCTCCTTAAACTTGGATGTTAAGCCCATCTCAATTTTTAAGTCTAGTTAGGTGGACAGGATTCATACCATTAGGTATGTGAAGTGTTTTTCATACAGTCTTAAGGGGAACTGAAAAAATTATGAATGAATTAAAAGAAGCAAGGTAAGTTGGAAATAACTAGAAAAAAGAAAACACAATAGCATTTTGAGCGTGATGGATTTGCAGGGTAAATTGCAACATTTTAAGTGCACAATAGAACTAGAACTCAGCTGGTATCTAGGGGGAGAGTCTGTGATAATTTTCAGTCTTTAAGAATACTATTTTTAAGCTCATACACACAAAGGCATAAATATGGTAACATTGTTAACCAGTCAGCCCCCCCATAAGGCATAAGATATATTTAAAAAAAACCAAAACCTGTGTTCATTTACTTTATTAGTTTCATGAACCATTACCATGGTTCTTGTTTCAAACTTTCTCTCAGTCATCAAGGTTAGAAATGTACTTTTTAAAAATGAAAACTGAGTTTCACATGATATGACTCTAGAATCTGGGGCTTCAAGAAAAAATGTCATATACTGTGAGACTCACGAGTCGGTCTTGGTAATGCCGTCTCAGTTTTACACTGAGTTTTACATTGACAATGGTTGTTTCAGTTTTGTAAAACTAACATTTCCACTGAAAATACTCAGATGGTGGTTTAACTTGGGACTTGTTCCTTTTCAAGTAAATTCAAAACTGAACTAGGGATTCAGCCCAATATATTTTACTACCTGCCCTGCAGCTCCTCTTTGCTGCTGTCACTGCTATCATCAGTGTCATCTCTGGGTTGCCCAGTGAGGCAGTGGAAAGGAGCCGGAGGGCAGCCCAGGTGTGGGTTCTGGGCAGCCGCAGCAAGAAGGGCCCAGCTGCAGTGAAGGGGAGGTGGTCGCTTTTCCCCTGTGCCCAGCAGCAGCTTCTGCCCAGCTACCACTGCTGCTCAGCATGGGTGGACAGTCCAGAGCAGGCGTGGGGAAGGTCGGGGTCAGGGCCGGGGCTATGCACATAGGTGCCAGCTGGTCTGAAACTGGTCTGCTCCAGCCATGGCGAGTCCAGAGTAAGTGTGGGGCAGGCCAAGACCAGGACCAGGGCTGTGTGCTCAGCTGCTGTGGGCAATGGCAGGGAGGACCAGCAGGGTGTGCAGGCTCTATGTAGCCCACGGGCCCATATAATTGCCTGCCCCTGCATTAAATGAAAAAATATTATTTGAACTTGTTCCCCTTAACATCTGCTCAAGATGTTAGCACAAGACTTTTAGAAATGTTGGTCCCAATTAATAGGGTAACTGAATGAGACATGCAGAATAAATTCAACAGGTCTTCCATAAGGACACAGATATTAAAATGAGTTGCTTGTATTGTCAAGTCATGCTCAGACACTCACCCACACATTCCATTGTTTCCTCTAATGCTGCAAATCCAGCTGGGCATCCTCCAAAACAACGGCCTCGGTGCAAATAGAAGCCAGCTTTGCATTTGGTACAAAAGTCTCTGCTAAAGCAGGAGTCACAGTTTTCTATTCTGCATCCTAAATCAGAGGATAATAGATCTCTGTTAAAAAATATCTAAAAATGAAAATACTTGTAAAGCAACAGACTAGCAAACACAGTATAAAAGAGATGCGGCTTAGGGGTGCACCGATAAAGAATTTTTGGCCAATACCGATGGCCGATAATTAACCAGCCACATCAGCAGATACCAATCTGGTTACCAATATGCAGCCCCTCAGCTTAGAGGACAGCATCCAGCCAGTAAGTCTGTGGGGGGAAAGGCCCGTGGGGGGCATTGATTGAGGCCCCCATGGTGATGGAGGGAGTGGAATGGGGCTGGGGCTGGGGCAGGGACATGGAAAGGAGAAGGCACTGCTCAACTGGGGTGGGGTGACGTGTGGGACAGAGGCATGGGCGGCTCGTTAGGACGGTGTGTGTGTGGGGGTGGCTTCTGCCACTATGTGGATCTCCAAGGGAGTCATGGGGAACATGTGCCTCCTGGATTTGTACGTGGGGCACGGGCAGGCTACCCACTGTGGTCTGGGGCCAGGGGCTGCATCAGCCTCTTCCTAGCAGGGAGGTTGGGCCAGGACTGTGCTTGGGGTGGGCAGAGGCAGGGCAGGCAGCAGCGGCATTGGGAGGGATGGGATGGGCAGCAGTGGCATTGGGCTATGGGATGGGCTACAGCCACCCCAAAATTTGCTGTACCTCCCCTGTAGTCCCCACTCCCAGTACCGCTGCCACCACTTGCTCCACCTCCTCCTCCCCAAGCACTGCCCCAGCCCTGACCTCCGGCCAGGGAGAAACCAGTGCAGCCCACAGCTGGCAGCCTGCACTTGCCCCACACACAAATCTGGGGAACATATGTCCCTCGTGCTTCACCCAGGGCTACATGCCCTGTGTCCCCCAGATGAACCACCTACGGTTTCATCCCACACTCTGCCCTGGCTGGGCAGTACCTGCCCCTGCCCCCATTACTTCCCCCACAGTGGAGGGCCTTGATACCCCTTCCCCTCAAAAACTTACCAACAGGACACTGCTCTCCAAGCTGCTGGGCTGCTTTCCTAGCTGCATGCATGCTGCATCTGCATGCATGCATGTGGCATTTATTGATGACATTATCAATCACATCAGCCAAAAAAGCCGATTGCCAATAATGTCAATTTTCCTTTGATCAATGCTGATACGATATGGACTGATATGTTGGTGCACCTATAATGCTGTCAGCTGGTAAACTTCTTAGTAGAATGTAAAACAAGAAATTACAATTACAATTACCTTTAAATGGCTAGGTTCAAAATTCAAAAAGCTTGAGGTAGAATTGATTTAAGGTACACTGTTTACTGTAAGCAGCATAATTTAAATCAGTAGCAAACAGAATACATATTCACCCTTTGGTGGGGGGTGAGGGGTGCAAATCTTAGACTGGGTTCCACCATTTTTAAACCAGTCTATGTGTGCCAAACTTCTGTTCTGTTACAGGTATAGACCAGTTTACAATCACTTATACTAGTAAAAGTGTAACGTCTATACCTGGCCAATATGATTAGCTGACAGGGCTCGCAACTATAGAAGTGCATGGTGTGGTCCCATGGCTGGGTACCAAGCTTGCTACTTGCCAGTGCAGGGGGAATCCAGGATTGAACTTCCCCTCCACCAGCAATATGGCAAAATGGGACCTGATGCCAGATCCCACAATTGGGCCTCCTGCCATGCACATTTGGCATGGCAGGAAGCATGATTGCTTGGAATCCACATCAGATCTCATCCTGTCTTTACTTGAATTTCTGTCAGGTGTCTTACATACCACAATTGCCCTAAATCTACCTGTTTGTGATTTTAAACTTGATTTTCTCATTTTTTCATTTTTTTCAATTCCTTGCTGCTGTATTAAAGATTCACTCAAACAATAAGGGAAATTGGCTAAACACAATATGTTGTCAAGTGCATAAAGCTATAACAGATATCTTATTTTGTTTTTTTTGCCTTAGGCATTATTGAAACTTTAATTGGCTTTACTAAAATAGGTAAATAACAATTCAGAAAAGTGTGATCTTTGAGTTGCTGATATTTCTGGGAGGGAAAGGGAGACAGGATTTTCAAGACTGAATTTTAACTGAATATTTGTGGAAAGAAAAAGAGATGGAACATATTTGGAGAAGAAAATGGATGATATGTCAATATATATTACTGTCACTGATCTTTGCATACAGGGTCCAAATACTTTCCATTAGCTTGCAATTTGAACAGAATCTCAGCAGCTATTATAGAATGTTTTCTTATGCTATACCTGATTTCCATACTAGTGTACGTGTCTCTATGGCGTTCTACAGATACAAATTTCTTCCAGATTTCAGTGACCAGAACCCTAAACACCAATTATCCTTTAAGTCAACAAATTGTCACAACCCAAGGGTGTGATTTTTGTTTTTGTGTGCTTCGGCACAGCTAAATTGTTCCCACTAAATTGCAGTTTCTTTGCACAGTGGAGTTTTCTGCTGCAGGAGAGAACCCCGGTGCAAAAGAATTCCCGCCAATTTGTAGCTTTCTTTGCAGGGTGCATTTCTTCTTTGCAGCATAGAAATGCTCGTTGCAAAGAGTTCCCGCCATTCGTATTCTAATTGTGCCCCACCATTGGCCATTTCTAAATTATTCACACATGGCGGCTAGTGATTGGCTTGCTAGCCGTATAAAAGGCTTGGGTGGTTTCCGCCCAAGTTGGAGAACTTGAAAAACTTGGAGAACCCCTGCAAGGGAGGACTCCACAAACATCAGGAGGAGGAGACTTCACGCTGTGTGAAGATCTCTAAGCGCTGCGGAGTCTATCGAACCCAGTGCATTTCAAGCAGGCAACAGGGGTCTGATCAGCCTCTAGCCTCTCCCCGTCACCGAGCGCAATCCTTGACGTATCCCTCTCCCTGCGCCCTGCGTGCAAAAGGATCCACGGAGCCTAGCAAACTTCGTGTGAGTCTATTCCTTGCCAGCTGGAACAACTGACATAGTTGTTCAGAGGACCGGACTACCTCAGAGCACAAGTTCCACGGAGCCTAGCAAACTTCGTGTGAGTGTATCCAGAGCTCTACCGGGGTTCGAGTCCTGCAGGTTTATCTTCCCGTCGCCGAAAACCCATTGCGATGTACTCTCGTGTTTTGCATCTTCCCGTTGCCGAAAACCCCCTGCGACGTACTCTCATGCCCTGCAGGTTCGGGTTTTGTTTTGTTTTGTAACTGCAACTCAAGCAAGTTTTCCTGCCTGCACCGCGACCATTTTCGGTGTAAGTAAACAATCTTTAAATCAACCGCTAAGCGTCCGTGCCTAATTCTAGCTCGCCGCCGGTTTTCTCTGACCCCGCGTGCCCGGGCTGCTGGCCATAGCCCGCGCAGCACAAAAGGGCCCTGATCGCACCCCCCGCCGCCCACACATGGCGACGAGGATGGGATCGGAAGGCGGCCCGCACACAAATAACTGCTACTGGCCAGACCCTCTTCTACCTATTAGGCACCTAAATGTGATCCTATTCTACCCTGTTTGTCCCTGAAAAAACCAATAATGTCATGTGCCAACTATTGTACGATGCCATCTTCTTAGCCCAAGACAAAAACACAGCAGGACAAGAGCCAATTGACTTAGCTTTTTGTTAACCTTTCTTTTTCAGGGACTCAAGCAGGGAAAAACAGCATCACTTAGTTGGTTACATTTACTCAGACCCTTAACAGGTGAAATAGGATCAGGCTCTAAAACTGTCCAAGTAAAAGGCATTAAATGTATAGTTAATAATAGAAATAATAATTTTAAAAGTATATATTAAAAAATTTTGGAAAAATTCCCTCAAAAAAGTGATAGTTTAACAGTGCTGCTTCTAATGTTTAGAACAGAAGTTAAGACTTCTCAGTTTCATTTTCCAATAATGTAACTCAAATGTTTTTCAAATCCCCTATTATAGTTTATTTGACAGCTTATAGTCATTACTACTGGTTCCAGTCATGCTGATTTTTTTCTATTTAATTATTATAACTGCTGACTTCTATATCATTATTTCTTTCTTGAGATATACATTTTTGTTACAATTATGCATTTTTCAAGTCTCTTAAAGCATAAAGAAGCAGCTCCATGCTGACTTAATCTTGGGGCTGTTCTTGAATGTCTTTCTCTTTCCCATGATCAAGGCTGACTTGAATAAACTTAGTAAGTGGGCGGATACAAACCTGATGATGTTCGATATTGATAAATGTAAGGTACTCCACCTCAGGAAAAAAAACCCACAGCATACTTATAGGCTCAGCAGTGTTACGCTTGCTAGCAACACAACTGAAAGAGACTTGGGGGCTATGATTGACCACAAGCTGAACATGAGCCATCAATGTGATGTCACAGCTAGCAAAGCAAATAATACTCTGGCTTGCATCCATAGAAGCTTCTCAAGTAAATCTCAGGATGTCATCCTCCCACTGTACTCGGCCTTGGTGAGGCCACAGCTGGAGTACTGCATCCAATTCTGGGCTCTGCAATTCAAGAAGGATGTCAAGAAATTTGAGAGAGTCCAGGGGAGAGCCGTGCACATGATCAGAGGACAAGAGAATAGGCCTTATGAAGAGAGGCTGAGAGCCATGGGACTCTACAGCCTGGAAAAACACAGGCTCATGGGGGACCTGGTGACTGCTTATAAGTATATAAGGGGTGTAAATCAGGATCTGGGAGAATGTCTGTTCACCAGAGCACAGCTGGAGTACTGCATCCAATTCTGGGCTCTGCAATTCAAGAAGGATGTCAAGAAATTTGAGAAAGTCCAGGAGAGAGCCATGCACTTGATCAGAGGACAAGAGAATAGGCCTTATGAAGAGAGGCTGAGAGCCATGGGACTCTTCAGCCTGGAAAAACGCAGGCTCATGGGGGACCTGGTGACTGCTTATAAGTATATAAGGGGTGTAAATCAGGATCTGAGAGAATGTCTGTTCACCAGAGCACCCCAAGGAGAAGCAAGGACCAACGATCATAAACTTCTACAAGACCATGTTAAGCTGGACATAGGGAAAAAAAT